AGAGATGAGAAAATAAAGTGTGGAGTCAGACATGGCATCCCATCGTGCGTCTGCATGTCAATGAATGTCACCTTTCTTTAACGAGACGTGCCTCGCTGTGTTTCCCTGTCTGTGTCTTTCAGAAGAAGCCGAGCAACAACAGGTAGAGCAGCTTATTTTCTTTGGCTTTGCAACTGGGAGTACCTAGAAATGTGCAAGAAAGACATGATGGCTTAACACAAAAGTTCATCTGAGAAACGTCTTTGGGTTGCATTACATTACTTTCTTAGTTATTTTGTGTTTTTTCAAAAAGGAATGCTGGTGCTTTGGTGTTCCTGCACTACAGAAAAAAAGGGGTTAAAGATGAGAGAAACAAAAAAAAAAGCGAAACTTTATTTCACAAGCAGACTGAGGGGCTCGCTCGCCTCGCACATCCACGACTGCAGCACTTTCTGGAGTAGAAGAGCAGCGTTTGAAGCTGGGAGATATGTTTTAATCATTTGGCGCCTTAATGATGACACTGAATTCATTATTAATGGGCCCCATCCCTCTCCTCTCCCTCTTCCACATAAAAGTCCAGAGTGAGAGTGGGTATTAGCATTAGCCGCTTTTGCTCTATTTGATCTTTCTGTAATTACACCACTTTTTGGAGATCAGACCACAAGCTTTATTTTAGATAAAGAGGCCCTGGAAGTATTTATTTCTTCTATACAAATTCCACACACAATTACCATGGTTACTTTTTAGCCCCGTCTCTTCGTTACAAGGAGGGAATCTGGAATTCTTCTTTGTTTTTTACATTTTAAAATTCAAAACATTTACTTGAGACAATTGGTGGGGATATATAAAACCATGCTGTATGTATGTCAGTGTGATCTACTCCTTAAACATGAAGAAAAATCTCCATTTGTTTCGCTGGTATCGCTGAGCATCCTAACTGTGAGCTGGTAAATCAATAGTCATGCTCCGAAAATGAGAATGCACATGGGGTTAATTATAATGAAGTCCATTAATCAATTCGTCTCAGCTGCAACTGCTGTTGGTAATTTGGCCTAAATGCATTCAAAATACTCGCAAAAATGCAGCAATTAGCGCGACAGCCGCGCTTAATGGTTCGCTTTAAATTGGGGGATGTTTTTGGGGTCGCTGGCAGGTTGTGAAACCACGGCAGTGTCGCTACAGTGCCAGTGAGCATTAAGGAAAGCAAAACAGGTGAGAGAGAGAGGCCGAGGGGTGACCGGAGAAAAAATGGGGATGGCGGAGCTGGTGCTTTGCTTTCAGTTCACGCGCACGCGCAGGGGGGGGGGGTGGGCACTGCTGCCAGATGGGAAGTTGGAGTCAGAGCTCTCTTTGGGGCCCGCTGAGCCATTTGGCCCGCATCCAAATGGGCAATTTCACAGGGTAGGAAAAACAAAAACGACAAAAAAAGCTCACAAACAAAGCAAAAGTTAAGCTAAGAAAGAGGGTGAAACTGGATGTGAACACCATTTCATACACGCCACCTCATCAGCTCTGAGAGTCTCGTGGTTCGTGGTTGCTGTTATCGCCACTGCAGCGCAGCATGGGATAATTAGCACTGCAGAGCCCATGTGTTGTGTGCTAGGTTATTAAGGCTTACAAAAAGCTGCAGGGGCACCAGAGGGGGGAGGCCGAATAAGTTGATATCAGGGGAGTTTCTTGAACACAGATTACTATACATCCCATACTATACTAGACTGCACAGCGGTGTGCATTCTGACTCCACGGCCAAATTGAATTCCATGCATTCGGTGGACTCCCACTGTGGAGTGAATCCACAGAGGGATGAGGCAGTGGGGAAGCTGTTGTTTAATGTATTGCGTGCAGCGAGGAATGCTGAGCACATTCTCACGCGGCCACGTACATCCCCTGCAAAATCAACTACGCGTGCATTTCTTCATACAATGAATCCAAGCAAATGTGCACGGTAGCTTCTGTGTCATCACCGGGAAGGGACAAATAATCTGCCGGCCTAGTTGTGAGCCTATTTAAAAGAGAGAATTCACTATATTTTCTTTCTTTTTTTTTGTTGTCCCAGGCAGAAGAGTGCAGGGAAGAGGAACAGCGCTGATCAATATGCACGGTTGCTGGCTTAATTACAGCGTCGAGGTGCACCGGGATCAGATGCCGTGGACGAAAGCCTGGCGATGTGAGGCACCCATCCTGAGGATGTGCTGCAACAGGAGATGTGCGGCCAGACAGGCAGGGGGGCCGGCCGAGAGTCGATCAAAACGGCCTCCAAAAGGTTTCAGGAAAATCAGAGACATTTAGAGATCTAGATTACACGTTGTGGACATAAACAATGTAAGGAATACCAAGATGCCTCACTTATATTTCCCCCCACACCGTTCCAGTTGCATACATAAAGAAAAACATCCAGATCTTTTTGCAACATTCACAGAATGACGAAGTGCGTCAATGCCTCGTTTCCCGGAAGCTCTTGAAGGACACTGATCGTGCAACATTTGAACCGAGAGAAAACAAAACACCTTGGAGCACAGATGAGCACAGTCAAGCAAGAAAGGGTTGCACCAAAAACATGGCAACACATCAAACACGCCACTAATGCTTTCAGTCCAAGTTATTCTGCAGAAAATAACGCATTAGTGCAGTTTGAGGAATGACAGAGAACAACCTCATAAGACATCCATGGAAGAAGGGACAAAAGAAAGTTACCTATCATGAGTCGGACAGCAATCTTGGGCCTCCCCTACTTTGTAGGAGTAGACCAAGTGGAAGGCGCCCTCCTGCTTTACCAGCTTAGGGTGTCAGCGTGCCCTTAAAACTCCCAGGAGTCCTTTATCGCCATGTTCAGACTCCATAAAACACTGCTTATTACACTAAATCTGTCATGTGCTTTAGTATGGATCACAGTTTGATCCCCCGCCATCAATCAGAAAAACACTACGGCAAAGTTAATGGCATCAGAGCCCGGGATGAATCTCTGCCGGCCGACTTTCTCAACACTGATGGTTTTAACTCATTGCCGCGTGGACGCCCCGAGATTTTATATGGGCTTGATTCTCGCCCCCCCAAAAAGTTACAAAGGGTGGTCAAGGACTGCAAGACACACGACTTCTGTTTTACAGTGAAATTCATTTGGTTCCTCTGTGAAACATTTGACACAAAATTGGCCGCAGGAGGAGGGCAGGATGGATGTAGGATGGATTGCAGTGCCCACCGGAGAGCGGTGTAAAGCGGGCAGATCGATGCCAGAGAAGACGCCTCGGGCAAAAATACAACAAAGGGGGGGACGCAGCCGAGGCGTTCTGGTGCCTTGGCAGTTTAGGGCACATGCAGCCCCACGCGGTGGGTCCACGGCGGGATTGAGCCCGGTTTGTTACCCTTTCCTTGTCTCATCCTGTCACAGTCTCCTCTGCAAAATCAGAACAAATTATAAAAGGTGCTACATGTAGCAGTTTTCACCTTACTAGACAATCACAAGCGAACAAATTACTTCCGACACCTTGGTATGAGCAAATTGTCAGGAGGATTGGCAGCTTCTCGAGCATTCGTCTTTGTTCTTTGGCTGTGCTTTTAGAGGACATACGCGTTGGACATGATTTTTTTTTTTTTTCCCATTGGCCATTTTGCAAGATGCTCTAAAAGATTAAGCTCCATCCGTGCTGGAAGAACAGAGCTCTTTCCCTGTTCTTCCTGCCATGAATAAATCCAGTGAATTTCCCTCCAAAATCCGACAAAAGGCTGCGTAGAGACTCAAATTAAGCGTCCCAATCTCTGCTTCATCGTCCTGTCGACAAGTAATTAACAAACATGTCCAATGTGGTAAGTAATGAGAGGAGTAGAGGGATATAGCATGAAAACAAGGTGATTGAGACAACACGCTTTCTTTTCCTCCAAGTCCAAAAGCTCTTCCTTGACTCTCGCTCTCTCTCTCAGTGATGTTCAAACATTCAGTACATCCCTTCAATCCCTACAGCCTTGGACACGTCAACTTTTCATGGACCTCTATTTCATATCACAGCTTCTCTCTGTTTACCATCTTCCCTGCCACTCCAAGACAGTATGGCATCAAAATAAAACTGTATGAGAAAATAAGTGACCCTGACCGAGCTCCACTGCTTCTCCTCAAGATTGCATGTGACAGTTTTCCCTCAAGCCAGAGCTTCTCCTACGACAGGCTTGTGTTTTTCTCCCGGAGCGATGGTAATGCTGCCGCCCAGACGGGCGACCAAAAAAAAGGCAACACCTGACTCCTGACGGGCAGGAGGAGTGAACCTTTTAAGCGGCTCAATCTGTGAGAATTACATGTAGGATTTATACAGTTATCTCGAGATAGCAGAGAGAGAGGAGATGTGAAGACAGTGAAGCAGGCACTCGAAAGGAAGATTTTAAAGCCTGCAACAGATGATAGTGTTTGCTGCTGTTATTCTGACAGGAGCTGGAAGGTTACTCCACCACTGGGTAACGGCAGAAATGGCAAAGGTCCACTGATGCAGAGGCCATGACTCAAAGGTCTGATACCAAGATAAAGTTAACCCAGACAAAAGCTACCCTTTACAAATGTAGTCCACTTCAGTGTATGATAAGCTGTTACATAAAACATAGCACAACCACTTTCAAAATCTTAGTCCATGAAGAAAGCTTATTCGTGAGTGTGTAAACAAAAATGTAATGAATGGGAGAAACAGGCCTCTTTTCGCAGACATTTGATCTCTCTATATAGCAACAGAGACGATAATTTGCCAGAGTAGCGGATACGTGGCTTCAAAAGTTGAGTTCCAATTTTGTGACTTAATTAAAAAGGCTCTATTAACGCTGTACATGTGGGTGTGAAAACAAGTCAAACACAAGCATTTTCAGGGAAGGAAATGGCAATGTTTTTTTTTTTGCAGGGTGCTGAAAAAATGGATCTCTAATGAAACATTGCTGCATTTTCCCTTATAATTAACGCAAACCGCCCTCCTTCAAGTGAAACAAGCGAGAAAAGTTTCACTCCGGCAGGCCGTTAACTGTTGCGACAATCGTGAAATCACTCGAACCTGTGAGGTTGCGCAGGCCCAGCTGCCTCAGGCCGTAGTACCCGTCCCGCCTGTAGTTGAGGAAGATGGCCAGAGAGTAGCGACCCTCGTACAGCTTGGTGCCGCGGACGATCCGCAGGTTCTCCAGCGGCAGGTAGTCGAACTGGTTGAGAGCCACCAACACGTAGCCGGTCACTTCTCTGATTGACTGCATGACAAAAAACAGAAGAATATATTGAATATGTAAAGTGAGGCTCAGATTCTTGATGTTGAGGCAAGTAAATATAATAAACAATGGAAAACAGATGTAGAAAGTAATGCCCCTTCAATTAATGTTCGCCTTTGTATTAACTGTCAGTCTTTTCCCAACCATAGCCAGTTGTTTTTGATTGCTTAACCCTTACCAGAAGTTACTTGCTAAAACCACAATCATTCCATACTTTGACCACTCTACTGTTGTTGCAAAGTGATAATTATGGAGCAATCCAAATGTAATCCGTGGTTTTGCAGAACCGTCGAACATGGACCTTATTGTCTGGTGATAAAATAAACAAAAAACCCAAAACTCTTTCTGGGAAATGATGATGTAATTTCAGTCTGGCATCTAAATAGTGGGTTTGAACTAAACCGAATACTTTATCCACCACAACCTCCAACTCTTCATTTCTTCAACGCCAAACCGCCTGTTTTTTTTGGCCGTGTCCGCCTCATGGAACAGTCGGTAATTCATTCCTCTCAGTTTCTGTGCATGGAGCATGTTATTTGCATATTTTAAATGTCAAGCTCATGAAAGATTTGGACATGGAGCCCAAAGTGGTTCAAATGTCAATCGCAGACTGATTGCACCCCTCTGATTACGTTCTCTCAGCTGTTTTTTTTAAGGCTTGAGAGGTCCGTGATACGAGCAAATATGACATTTGTAGAGCCAATAAGCAATCCCACCTTTCAGAACAATATTTTTAAATCCAAATGAAGTACATTCGTGTTTGATTTTATGCCCTGTAGGTGTTAAAGGCATATTCATGGGGAAACTCTCAGTCAGGTGTGAATGGATTCACCAGAGATCTCAAACTAAGAGAAGATTTGGTGGCAGTTCAAGCTTAAAGGGCTTGGCTGAATGCCTGACTCACTCACACTCACACACACACACACACACACACACACACACACACACACACACACACATAAAACACAGAAATAGAGAGCTTGATTGTGCCGAGTGCCTTGCTGAAGAACATGGCAGACCTCAGCTATCTGCCTCATTGTGCATCAACTGACCTTCTCTAAAGCCACAAAAAAATCTGGCTGATTACCTCGGTGTCATTCACTTGATGAGGCCAATTAATTCAACCGCAGAGTCGGGCTGAAGGACGGGGGCCCAGGGAGAGAACCTTTGAACGTCTTTTGTCAGAATTCTCAAGAGAAAGTATTCGTCCTCATGTCGCGGCGATCGCTTAATAAGAAATAAAAAACACACAGCAGCGTGTCGTTACATCAACAGATAACAGTCCAACAGAAGAAAGCTGAGAAATAAGCTCTTTTAGCTGACATCCACATCCATCATTCTGGCAGCGTAGTCTTCGCATACGGCATCGTTGCCACATAACTTGATGTGTGTGTGTCCATGTGTGTGTGTGTGTGTCTTCTAAAACATAACTTATTCCCTTGCTGCAACAACACCCTCTATGTGGCCATGCAATATTCATCGGAGTGCCTCAAACAGCAGCCTGAGTTTCCTTACAAAGACTCACAAGCACACGTGCGGCTTTTGTTAAATGTCACACTTACACATTTTACTGACCACCACTGACAGGCCTAATTACAACTCTACATTTAAAAGTGTGTGTGTGTGGGGGGGGGGGGGGGGGGGGGGGGGGGTGGGGGGG